GAATTTAGAATTAAGGTGTGATTTGAGTTTGGGGGAAAATATTCTTACTTCTTGTTTTGACAGAAATTCTTAGTGATTATGGAAAACTGAAGGACACAGCTTCTGAAAATGACTTGAGAAATTTTCTTTCATCATTCAAGGATCATGCTCCTCAGGTAAAATTTAACCTGCGTAGTGTAACTAGTGTTCCATGACATAGGTCATCATGCAAGAGAAGTGTAGTGTGACAACCATCTGTCACATTGCATGACAACTCCAAATATGTCATATTTACTATGAATTTTTGCAATCCTTTGCTGACTGGTGTAGAGATGACTTCAAGTAGTGGGTAGCGATACCATCACTGCAGATGTCCCTTCCCTTTTAAGTGCGTTTCTGCACATATTTTGATTTTAGTATTACATACAACACTTGATTTGCATGACGTTCAAACAGAACTGATATTTGAAATGCATTGTAGTCCTTGTCATTAAACTGAGTCCTCGCTTTTTCCCCACTTCCTTCATTCAGTTATCAGATGCCTTGGAATTTCTTCAGTCCCACAATCATGTAGATGAACAAGGTAATACAACTGTTAAAAGAGGATAAGGTAACTTAAATTGTCACACAGAAAGGAGAATGACAACGATGAGAAGAAATGAGATGACAAGATTAGGTTCAAAACCCAAGAGATAAAAATGTTCCGCAGAGATTAATTAGATGTACATCATTTTCCCCATTAGGGGTTCTAATATATCTATTATTATTATAATTATTACTTCACCTGGTGGCAGCATGGCTGTGTGGTTAAGGTGCCAGACTTCAAATCCGGAAGTTGTCAGTTAAGTATCGTTCTAACCACTAGTTGGCGTTGTTCTCAGTAGTCCCGAGTTCAGTATCTTGTCCACATTTGTAAATAGCCAACTGGTCTGTCTCCTGCCAGCTGGGATTTTTTTTGCTATATTCATTTAACCATTACGTTACTAGTTTTATCATTTGTTTTCATGCCCTGAAAAACCCCATTGGGGGAGTGGTCAATTAAGGTATATTTATTTACTTATTTTTTTGTCAGTGGCAATGCAAGTAATGATTTGCGGGTGGCCCAGAAAATACAGTAAAACCTCTTCTACAGGCATCTCCATAATATGGACACCTCTATATCACAGACATTCAACCCTGGCCCTTTGGCATAGTTTGACTGCATTAGTTATCAAGGAGAGGCTAGATATCCTGTCTCACAACAAATCAAATGGAGTGGAAAAATTGCACAGCCTGAATATGACACCGTCAACCAGATATAATATACAGATATCAAGTAACCTTTGACTCATACAAAATGATCACGAGACATAAAGTTTTAATACTGCACACATTAGTTTAATTTTTCATG